ATCGGTTAACATTTACATATCAAGGGATGCTTACTTTAACCCAGACCAGGCAAACTGTAGTGATTATTTAACATAACCAAACAAAATGCCAACTGAGTAAACTTCTAGTCTTGTCTTGTAATGAAAACCCTTCCAACTGCATGAAACTGGTACACATTCAGTCAACCAACACTTTATCATACAATGGATAGTGTTCTTGGCAGGAAAAAGCCAACGGATATTTTAGGTATCCGTTGGGGTCATATACGGATATCGATGCATATTAGAGAGGTCATATGCAAATTTCAGGGACTACTTTCACAGTGTAAACAAACATGGCGTCAAGGGTCGGCGGTCGTGTCCGGATTAACGGCCGTGGTTGCGGTACTGTCAGTGCTTTGATCCCAGAAATTCATGCCTGGTTTTGATAGATGGAGTAGCTTACAAAGCGAAGATAGAAATTCATAGGCTTACGAAGATACCAACATCAGTTCCCCGACCGACTGTCAGTGTTAGCGAGAGATCGGTGCACAGTGTCACGCTAACATTAAAGCATATTTGGTTGTTCAAAAGGTTAATTGAAGGTTTCTGAAGTTCCACGTGAGTTTGTTGTTATTTTTCAAACGTAAGCTAAGATTTGTTGACAAAAATACGTGCTTTAGCATAAAAGCTTACTGGGAACTAGATAACCGCTGAGTGATCAGGAGAAAATTATGTCACCGGGCTTGTGACGTAACGTATTACTCCGTACATATTTGTGACATCATAGACATTCCACGAAGTTTAGTTTCATGATTTGTGGCATTTGAAATCGCATTTTTTTAAATCATAAAGCAAAAATGACATTAGATGATAATAGATCATTATCGTGTAGTTTTGGATGGTTAATATCCTGCATTAGAATAAACACTATATATTCAGCTCGCCAAGGCTCGCTAAATACAATGCTTATTCCTAATGCAGGATATTAACCATCCCAAAACACACTCGCGTGATAACCTATATTTATGAGAAGATCAGTAGCCAGATCCCGATAGTAGCTCACAGTGTACCTGCATAGCGTGGCAGATGCGTTCAGACGTTGTACTGATCACGGATGTTGTCCACATGTACATTAGATAGAGGATATTATATGAGTACCGATGTCATACTTTGTTTACGACACGAGTGCCTAAATGTTGGTATTTCCCGAGCGAGAGCAATGCAATGGCCAATTGTGGAAGAGTCTGAGGCGTGTTTAGCCGCTGACGTACACGTCGATCGAGTTCATCCCATAGGTGTTCTATCGGGTTTAGATCTGGTGATCGGGAAGGCCATGGCAAGACATTGACGTTAGAATTGACAAGGTAGCGGACCGTGCCGCGTGATTTATGTGAAGTGGCGTTGTCATGCTGGAACAACTCTCTCTGTCGGTCCATAATCGGAAGCACGTGACGTGCAAGGACTTCGTTGATGTACCGATTTGCTGTCAAATTGCCCTGAACCATCACTAAATCAGATCTTTGTGTGCTGGATATTTCATTTCTCCGACGGTAAGCACCCTGTCTTCCATCTCGCCGGTGAAGAAGAAATCGTGATTCATCACTGAACCAGACTCGCCTCTACTTTCTAAGGTGCCAGTTTCTGAATCTACGACATTGGCGCCGATGGAACTCTGTCACAACAGGGGCGACAACTTCACGCAATTTGGTCGGAAATTCTTCTCAAACCAGGGATGCGTTGTGCAGTCTCCACATCTGGGTAAGACAATGATGCAAGTGAACAACTCAGATGTAACGATCCTGGCCCTGGGTGGTAACTCTTGCACAGCCGCTTCTCTGGCGATCTTGGTCGGAATTGGTCTGCAGGAAACTGCCCAAAGGGCGAGATAGGGTGTTCTGATGAACGTTGAAATGTCAGGCAACTGCAGACTGCGACTCCCCAGCTTCAAGGCGGCCTATGGCGATGTTTCGATTGGCGGCACTGAGTCGTGGCATGATGATTTCCTCTTTTCCAGGCAAAAACGAATGACAAGATTAAACACAACGTTTGCCTTTTTATAGTGATCAATGCCGCATGCTTTTTCGCTTACTTGCACGTCCAATTTGTGTTACATGTTTTCTTGGTGACGTTTTGGCGAATATTTCTTCCAACGCTTCAAAAACAAGGGGGGAAGTTACAATTGCCGCGTTTTGGCGCTGAAGCTGTTTACAATCACACAAAGTATATTTGTATTGAGTTTGCCGCAGCTACATGATTCCAATATTCTCAAAATCACCTATGCGTTTCTTTTTTTGAAGAGTGTAGTATTGTTCATTTGAATGTCTTCATTCTAATATCAAACAAATTGTATCATGTAAACATTTGACTTAGTTCAATGCTTCTGTTATATACACGTATACTTCATAGTTGTTTCTTCTTGTAAATCACATTATGAAACTATTATAAACATATTTCACATGACCATCTCATTTCTTTTCATCGAGTCGTTCAAAAGGAGCAGAAATTTCCACTTATCAAAATATCACCCAGTCACATACGCGCATGCATTTAAATACGAAAATCTCACTAATTGCAAACATTCTGATCAGACTGTCACAGTTACAACCACTTGACGACAATGTTTCACATATCTTCCACACATTTTTGTAACCGACCATTAGTTTTCTTTTACAGTAACTACATGTATTCAGTTTTGTTTATTTCCAGTAGTCATGGTATTTAATTTGGTCGTTTGTATTTCTAAATAACAGCCACATAAATGTTTAAACAACTCATCGTTACATTGCTTTCACATATCTTTTATATGAGATTATTGGGCAGCGAACATTTGATGGACTGGATCAGCGTATGCTTGCCAACTGATTTACTTAAGCCAGATTTCACGCAGTGACGGTGTAGTTAGGCCTGTCGTTAAGCGGACTAGGAGATAAGACGGTAACTCTAAGGTAACTTGGTATATAAACGTGGGCCAGTGTGTTCCTAGCACTCACTCCTTCTCTCACGGTCCCAGTCTCCACACAGGAAAACCTGCAGTCTGTCAGGTAAGTGGCACCAACTACACACTTCTCTCTCACGGTCCCAGTCTCCACACAGGAAAACCTGTAGTCTGTCAGGTAAGAGTGGCACCAACCACTGAATGACCATCTTTAAACTTATCACTACATGTAGCTGTTCTGTATTAATCTACAGTGGACCATTCTGAAAACCAGATATGGTCTGAAACATTTTGGTTGAGGAGTTCCCATTCAAGGATTATTTTAATTTGTATGTTTGGTGCCTTTAACATCTGTAAGTAGTTGGACTCCATGACATTAGCCGTAAATGTACGTGTGGTCAGTATGTAGGCTTTATACTGGCGCTGTGTTTAATTATCAACCTTTTCATCCGTCCACGTGACTCTAAGCATTTTAAGTATTATAAAAAGTATCATCACTTAAGGCTGTTTGGTTGCTATCATACGTTGCCATGCAACCCCAACTGAGAAGAGGCGTTACCCAACTCACTTTATGCAACAAAACGGCAGATATTTAACACTATATACAGATTATCAACTTAGCTATAAACTGAAAGGTAGTGTCCCATTTATGACAGCGACTTGGCCGCTGATCCGTTAAGGTGTCAAGTTGCGCTGTCAAAACTGGGATAACTAGCTGTACCAATTAAGGGTAATCCCCTACAATGTGACTGTCCATAGAACAGTTACGTGAAAAGGAAAACAACCTGTAAATGAAATAAACTGACATGAAAGTAAACGAATGTTATATTTTACATTATATTTCTCTTCCGATAATTCATGTCATATGACACAGCAAAATTATTAAATCGAAATTCATTTCATTTTTGTTCAATCTTCCTAGTGTTTAAAATACTTTGAATGACAGTTATAGTCAGTAATCAGCTTAGAATTAGTGGATCCAGTGAATAGTCCCGAGTGTCACCACCGATGTTGTTGCCCTCTTCAAAAGGGGAGGTAACTGTCTTTCTCCAGCATGTTTCCTTTAGCCTTCGTTGATCAAAGTCGCCTCTGATATTCTGAAAACGCAGTTTCAGTTTATATCATAGTGTATGTGTTCCTTTAGCCGGTCGTTAATAGTGCTGAAACCCAAATATTCCTACAGACAGCAATTAAGGATTCCTTGGTGTAGATTTATTCCTGCCTTCTCTTCACCAGTACACTGAAGGGCGTGAAAGGTACATTTTATGGATTGACCGAGCCAGAGTTGCATTTAATTACTTTGGCAAACAAAACTGTTTTGTCAAACCAAAAGCGAGTGGTCTCATTCTGGTCTTCACAGACCAAGCTAGGCAACACTGCTGTCCCAGTACAATATAGACATTCAGATATCGTTAGCAGTTTGCCGCTTGTATCTGTCAGCTCATCTCATGCTACCACTTAGAGCTTATCCCTTTAGCTGGTGATTAATTCCCAGGACCAGTGATTACCTTCGCATTGATAGTCTTAAAACGTGTGACCATGACGTCATCGGGGACAGGCTGTGATGCATGACATTGGCCTGCCCTTGAGCTTGCAAAGCGGCAGCGACCAACTACCATGACTGGGTTCCGTGGCTCAACACAGATTATAGCCATGGTGTTTTCACACCGACTGCGCTTGATGCGATTACCGGTTGGGCAATGTACCAAGTTTCATATCCAGTATGAGATAATCCGATTCGGGTGGAAAGTTTTTAGTGGCGCAATAATCGCTTTCCGGGCGACGCGTGGTTTGGACACCATTCATGGATGAATAAATGAGTTCGCTGTTACGCCGCTTTTAGCAACATTCCAGCAATATCACGGCGGGGACTTCAAACAGCATTCATGGATGAACCAATCAATGGATGATAGGAATCGATAACAGACTGTGTATTAATGTTTGGTTCAGTACTAACTTCTGAACGGTTCCTTGTAACCCTCTCCTGTTGCTAACGAGTTGGAAATAAGCCAGTCGGTAAACTTGAAAGAAATTTGATACTTATATCACGTAATCAATCCTCAGTTTCTCCAGTGTTAACATGTGCTCATTTCCCTTCCAGCATGTCTTCCTACGATTTCCCATCCCTTGCCCGAACCAGCAGTGCTACACCAATGATGGGGGTCCTGCCCTACGTGGCCGACAAGACGGTCTCCCGCCATCTTGGTGGTGCAGGCGGGGCTCATGCCAAGTCGTACTTCAACCCAGCCACGTGAGTTCATCTTGCCTTATCTGTCTCATACTGGGCCTACATCCCTTGATGTCCATCAGCTCTGAACTTCCATTCTAATTAACCATACCTGCAGGGTCAGCATATCAACTCACTACTCAGCCCGCCTATCTTAAATCGAAATTATGGCATCATTTATCAGCATGTACAGTTTGATGATATACCTACTCGTTTATCAACTTGTACATTAACATCAACAGCAACAGCGTCAACGCTCGCTACACCCATTCCGACTGGTCCCTCTCCAACAACGTCAACTTCAGTATGTCTGATAAAGAGAGGGCCTTTGCCGAGCAGGTGCGCGCTGACGCCTGGCAGACTGTGAAGGAGACGGATGCACAGACCAGGAACAGACAGACTGACGTCACCAAGAGGCTAGGTGAGTCAGCTGGTGATCTAATCCACGGGGATGAAACCCATTTACTTCTGTAAAGGTACAAGTTACTCCAAGTTAGAATTAATACAGATCGCTAAATATAACCTTTCCCTTGTAGGGGATCGTGTTTATGACATCACCTTCTGGAAGACCGAACTGAATAATGAGATCAGCGCCATGGCCACCGAGACAGAGAACCTGAAGGTGAGGTGTCGAGCCATGCCGAGTGATCAACTGCAAGATGTTCTTTGTTCTCCATCAGAAGCTATTGAAAGACTGGTGACAGAATGGCCTCCTGTTCCATCCTTTTTCAACCGAGGTCTCCTCTCAATAAGGCATTGCTTTTTTTTACCTTGAATCGTATATATAAATGTTACCAAATATTTCAGGAGTACAAGCGCACCCTGGAGAAGGCCCTCGCTGACACTGCCAACCCCCTGCACGTGGCCGAGGAGTGTCTCATGCACAGGGAGAAGAGGCAGGGCATTGACCTCGTCAATGATAAAGTTGAAAGAACTCTCGTGAAGGTCAGTCCGCGAAAAACTGGTGCTGACATAACCCCATCATTAACCATCTATTAAGCGTTTTACCTTGCTACACCGTGTCCGAACCATCGTGAAGGTCCTGGCTAGAATATTGATCTTCAGTAACCCATGCTTGTCGCAAGAGGCGACTAACGGGATCGGGTGGACAGGCTCGCTGACTTGGTTGACACATGTCATCGGTTCTCAATTGCGCAGATCGATGCTCATGCTGCTGATCACTGGATTGTCTGGTCTAGACTCGATTATTTGCAGACCGCCGCTATATAGCTGGAATATTGCTGAGTGCGGCGTACAACTAAACTCACTCACTCACCCGAACCATCGTAACCAACACTTCACACAGACTGTATGCTGGCGCCTATATTGCTACAGACACATGTATAACTACTGTTGTGTTAACGCTTCAAAGTGTCAAAGCTTCTGCCATATACACATCAAGGAAAGTGTTGCATGTATATACAATGACTATTGTCCAAAATGTATTTGAGCCATCCGTACACACATTAAGCAATGCATGTACAATGACTGTCCATCACTGTGTTGCCAGGAAGTTGACGTCATCAGGAAGTGCCAGGCTATGATGAAGCAGGTCCTTGAGAAGGCTTACGTCCAGATCAAGTGAGTAGCTAACACCGAGAAAATAGCGACTGCTGTTGTACGCCGTAGTACGTAATGTTACAGGTATATCATGGTGGTTGATAAGTCATCTAGTCCAGCTCAACCGGAGGGTTCAAAACATATTTGGCAAAGAGACGCAGTCATCGTATTGTTACCTTGTAATCACTCTTGTGAAAACACGAGATCAGTCATCGGGCTGGCAACATCTGGTACCCTTGATATACTAGGGAAAACAACTGTGACTGCCCTCTCCGGTATCTTTATCTATGAAAGGAAATTATTACCTGTTAGCTCTTGGAGTGAGTACTTCCGGTATTTCACTGGTCACCCTCTCACCACCAGGATGAACCGATCTGCCCAGCACGCTATGGAGGTCGACGCCAAGGACAAGCACCACGCCCAGAATCTGGATGACCGCATGCAGCAGCTCAAGAATAGTTCAGCTGGCATCGGCTACTACCCCGGCATTGAGGCCATCGACAACACGTAAGTGTACAGTGACTTAACACAACACTAAAGACATCCTATGGCTGTAAGTGAGATATCTGTTGCTGACGGCTTTCTCTCTGTTGTAGAATGACCCTCCCCGCGTCCTGGGCGCAGTACACCCAACAGAACATCGCCCGCTCCCAGAGGGAGAGGGCGTCGTCCGAGAAACTCCGCGGTGCTATTGACACCTGCCTCCGTGCGTGCGCCACCAATATGTGGAGCAACTTCAACACCGTCAACAACAACTTCAACACCCGAATCCGAGAGTCAGAGGACACTAGAAACAAACTGCAGGCTCACTTGCAGAGGGTAAGCTGCATGAAGTCACAATGGAGCAGTCTTTTCCAGGGACGCAGTGATTGTTGAGCCACATACTTTGATCATTGGGCCAACAATTTTCCAAATCATTTTGAAGTTCTGTCCTGAGTTTACTGAGCGACCTTTACCTTGCATCAGCTATGTCACAAAAGCTGCTCACAAGTTTAAATAAATCTACCGAATGGGACAACAGAAAATATAGTAAGTTTTGACACGTCGCGTGACCTTTGCACTGAGTATATCACAAAATAACTTTCCTTCCTCTTCCTCTAGACCATGCAGGAGATCTTCGACATGGAGAAGAACATCGAGCTGCTGAGGAAGGCAATCAAGGACAAGGAGGCGCCGATGAAGGTGTCCCAGAGTCGTCTTGACGAGCGAACCAGGAGGATCAATGTGGAGCTCTGCAACGACCCCGTCATGATCTCGTGAGTATATTTCCTGCAAAACAACTAATCTCATAACTACAAATATGAATTTAGATAATATTTAGTCCTAAGTTCTATGAATGTTAAATATTCTTCTCTTCAACTGCAGACTGCAAAATGAGGTGCGCGAGATCCGTGAGTCTGTCCGCATCCTGAAGGAGCGTCTCAAGGCCTCCGAGATGTCTCTGGCTCGTCTCATGAAGACCAAGGCCACTCTGGAACACGACATCTCCGTCAAGGAGAACAGTCTCCGCATCGACTCCCAGTGGTGTATGGGAATGAGGAAAGGTTTCCCTATGGACCCCAAAGTTGGACCCATATTCCAGATGCCTACATATTAGGGACTTGAACAGACTCTGATAGTACGTACATGTATGTACATAGGTTTGAAGGAGTTGCATGAAAGTGTTCAGTTCACCGCTCCAAGATGTACCGTCATTGGCAGCCAGTTAGCCAGTGAGTTCCAGTCAGCCTTTCATACATCAGTAAGTTCATTGTAAAATGTCAATCCTGGGCCTTTGACCTTGATAATTCTGCGTGTTTATCAAATAAAATGTTATATGATATGTGATTTCTTTTCTTATCAATATTATTCTGTGAGAGATAGATAGGTAGATGAAGAGAGAGAGAGAGAGAGAGAGAGAGAGAGAGAGAGAGAGAGTAACCAATAAACGATCATTCAACGTAAATATATATATGAGCGGTAATCAGGCAATCAATAATACTCCAACATACTGGAAACACGTGCTGCACACAATTTGTCAATATGGTTGAATAGCTACAAAAGCAGCAAGCACACAGAGGTAAACATTTCATAATTGCAGTATGTGTACTGCATACTGACGACAGCACTTCCGCTTTTATTTCCCACTAAAATATCTTACATTTACCATTGAAATACGTGGAATTTGGTTTTCAAAGCAAATACAACAAAATATAGTGTTTTCGCACTTATCATAAATGTATATCACACTGTAGTTGGTGCTTGATTATACGATCATATATATACCAGGGGCACTGTAACTACGGGTTCCTGGGAACAAGAAACTGTATATAACACTGGTCCGCTTCAAGTAGTACGAGCAGCTAAAGCGGTACCTTAAGCATAGAAATCGGCTGTCAAATTAGTACCTGTTCGAGCCAGGTTCGAGCTATAGGGGCTAAACACTTATAGTTTGGACCGGATTCACTTCATGTTTTCTACTCCTCTACCTACATTAGTCACTATATATAAGATAATGGATCCTCAGGAACATAGTTTCTTACTAACTTACATTTTCTCAATCATTTCCATGAGTACACAATTTCTGAATGTAAATATATGTCTGTACAATCACAAGTTTGATATTCCCGACAACTTGATAAATAGCTGATGCAACTCCTTGGCCGCCATTTCCAGGAGGCGACAGAAACCATTATATATGATTCTCCATGATGCCTTCAGTTTTAGGAAACACACTTGACACAAACCAGATTAAGGTACCTTATCCCTGGTTATCTCCCATTTGACAGACACCCAATTGACAGACACCCATTTGACAGACACCCAATTGACAGACACCCAATTGACAGACACCCAATGACACTAGACTGACTGAGTTTAGTTTTACGCCGCTTTTAGCAATATTCCAGCAATATCACGGCGGGGGACACTAGAAATGGGCTTCACACATTGTACCCACGTGGGGAATCGAACCCGGGTCTTCGGCGTGACGAGCCAACGCTTTAACCACTAGGCTGACACACACACACACACACACACACACACACACACACACACACACGATTGACAGACACTGAACTAGAAGGTTAATTAGGGTAACACCTACGGGTATAATGGAACAGTCCACTGTCCAGTGAGTAAAGCAGGGTGAGCCTGAAACAGGTTCGTTACTGAGAAGTTTGATTTCGGGTAAATATAAATTTGTTGTGATTAAATGATAAATGATTTCTCTTCTCAAAATTGATTTTACTATAAATTACTATCGAATATAAAAACAGGTTTGTCACTGAGGTTTGATTGTGTTTATTGATAGAAAATACCCATCCCAATAATAGCATATGTACAACAGAAATTAACTGAGAAAACGTTTTGTTGGAGAGATATAGTTACATGTATATGTACATATTTGAAAACATTCTGATTTGCAGTAAATGAGACACCTGCATTGCCATGTAAGATACGATTAATACCAATCATTGTTCTAATTTCAACAATACTTTCTAAAGATTGTAACAGTTTTTGTGTACTATACAATGGACATTCAAGGAAGTAATGAAAAACATTCTCACATCCATGGCCACATTGACATGATGCGTCATATTTTAAATATGTATTCTAAATGAATCTTAATTAAGTGCACTCGTCATATATCTTAATATTGTGTACAAAACATTTAACTTCTTTATTCCATATGAATAATATTTAGGTTCACATTTGTCTTTATTTGATTTATATGATACAACAGTGTCGCAATTTCTAATAGCTAAGCTAATGTTTTCAATATGATGATGCCGACTCCCGTTAGACTAGAAGGTTAAACCGAAATGTGTATGAAAAATTCAAATTACTGTCTTTTCGTCCATCTTTCAAAATAAATAATATAGCTTCAGTTTATCCTGTGTTTTTATTTGGACTATTCCTTTATAATGTGTATGTAACAGGTAGTAGATAATCTGTTCACTGAACCGTAAATGTTGTTGTTTTAAGGTGTCTGCGAACTGGCTGTCTGCGTAATAGGAGGACACCTTATCCCTAGCTGAATAATGACGAATATCTGCATTCCGGTCTAATTAATATTCATGAGTGGAAACCCGAACGTCTGATTCCCCTGGCTACTTTTTCGCTGCCAAGGCTGATGCACTTTCGATATACTGAATATTCACAACGTAAAACCCGTAAGCCCTATTCCTATCGCTACTAGGAATATTAGGATATACTTCGGTTGAATAAGACAATTTTGCATTTGCATTGTTGAAAAGGTACCAGCCTTTTCCGTGTTTGATGATCTAAAATATCTGCCAGTGACACGGAAAGGTTAAGATATTAGTAGGTAGGTAGGTAGGTAGGTAGGTAGGTAGGTAGGTAGGTAGGTAGGTAGGTAGGTATGTAAGGTTTTAGGGCGACCTTGGGCCTTAAAAGGCCTATATGCGCCCAACACTTAACAAACTGTTATATTTTTGTTCAGTTAAATACGTCGTACTTACCCGTTTTAACGAGGAAGTCTAAAACAGCTCTTTGTATGCAACCATACATTAAATTATCGCCAAGTATTGCGTTCATTGTAAAAGTATTTTGGGTTTTGTTAAGCACAGTTTCTTTAAGAGCCTTACGTGGGTTTTCATGAGCTGGACATTCAATGAGGTAGTGCTGAACTGTTTCTGGGCAGTGTAAGTTACAACTTTCACACAGAGGAGATAGGTCTTTATCTAAAAATACTTCTATATGCCTTTAATCCACAATGTCCTAGCCTGAGGCGAGTTAAAACAACTTCATCGCTGCGACAACGCCGACGAATTTTAAAATGTTTGTTTACTACAGGACAAGTAGAGAACATGTGTCTACCTGTAGTTTCATTGTCCCATTTATTTTGCCAAGATGCATTTATTGAAGATGAAATGAAATGACAAACCAGTAATCTCTTGGAATGGGCTTAAATGAATGAATATCTGTCTGTGGTCTGTTGTAAGCCTTCTTAGCAAGTGTGTCAACTACTTCGTTTCCAGCTACACCACCATGTGCAGGAATCCAAACAATATCACAGCTGATGTACATGGAGTTTAAAGCAGTATCAAGATACAAGATGGCGTATAGTATGTCACTGCGTGGACCTTGTACACCTGATTGAATTGCTTGTACAGCTGACAACGAATCAGTAAAATTATTGCTTCATGTTCATTATCTTTTACCGATTTTAAACTTGAAGTATGGCTGTCAGTTCTGCTGCAAATACAGACAGATGATCAGTCAATCTAATTCTTTTGGATAAACCAATATCGGGAATATAAAAAGCTCCACCAACATGACCGGTTCTGGGATCCTTTGAAGCATCAGTGTAAATATGAGTAAAATTGCTATATTTGGTGGGAATGTAATCTTGGGTTAGGATTTTAATAACACTTGGTGACATTTGTTTGTTTACAAGCTCCGATAAATCCTGTGAAATCGAAGATTGTGTTAATGTCCATGGAACCGTTTTAGGGAGAGATCGAGCAGCATTCAACTGAAGATTGTTCAACTGGTACTGTAATGGAGACTGTTGTACAAGTACTCCAAACGGTGGTTTTCCGTGATTCCAATCACACATGACATATTCCACACAATCACACAATATATCAGTTGCTGGTTGATGCCTAGATTAAGCTTTTAAGGGTAAATAGTACTTATGGACAACTTTAAGGAGGTTCTGAGCATTCCACCTGAAGGGCAGAAACTGGAGTAGTAGGAAAGGCACCGGTGCATATCCGAAGAGCTTTTGCTTGAACACGATCAAGTTTAGCCAAATGACATTTTGCAGCATTCATGAAAACTTGACAGCCATATTCTAATCTAGACAAAATTAGTGCTTTGTACAAAAGAAGCAAGGATGATTTATCAGCACCCCACTTTGTGGCAGACACGCTTTTCAGTAGATTGAGAGCTTTAGTACATTTTGATGAAATGTAGTTGCTGTGGTGGGACCAAGTGAGTTTTTTTATCAAAGATTACACCCAAAAATTTAAATTCAGAAACAAATTTTATGTCCTGATCACAATGTGTAGCTTCGTATTTGGAGGAACTTTACGTCTTGTGAAGAACATAGCAACTGATTTAGAAGTTTATACCTTGAACCCCCACTTTGAACACCAAAGATCTATAGAATTTAGGGCTAATTGAATAGATATGTGAACAAACTCAATGTTTCCAAAACGTCTCCAACAAGCACTATCATCTGCAAATTGTGATGCATCAATGTTTAACGAAAGTTCAGAAAAGAAATCATTGATCATAATATTAAAGAGACAAGGGCTTATAACACTGCCCTGTGGAGTGCCATTTACAATAATTCGCATGTCAGACACGTGTTGCCCAATACGAACTTGTATGGTTCGATCAGTTAGGAAGGACATTATCCACTGTAGCAAACGTCCCTTTACCCCCAAACTTTGCAGTCTAAATAAAAGTCCATTTCTCCATAACATATCATATGGCTTTTCAATGTCTAAAAATACACACAGCATATACTCTTGGTTTCCTAGTGCTTTTTGTGATTGATTCTAAGTAGAAACTCAAACGATTTGTGACCAACCTTTCCATGATTTTACACAGGTTAGACGTTAAGGCTATTGGTCTAAATGAAACAGGGCGAGATGGATCTTTACCAGGTTTGGGAACAGGGATAACAACAGCGTGTCTCTAGCTTCTGGGTAACTTCCCAGATATCCAGCTTTAATTTATTATATTAAGTATGACTTCTAAAGCTGAAT